GAACTCTTAAATACCACCTGTAACAGATTTTCTTGGCGTCTGATAGTAGACGATAATTATGCAATTTAGACACTATTTATACTTTAATTTGGCCGTACTTTTATCAATGTTTGAATGTTAAAAGATAACAAAATGCTCTAATTAAGAGTTTTACGTTTTGCAGGAGCCACTCCGAGCTAGGAGGAAGCTAAAGAGTGTTTTGGAGTCAATATGGAGCGTGGAAGGCCAATCGGAGGATAGCACGGTCGAAAAGGAGAAAGAAAAGCAAGTGTCAGCTCCGCGGTCCAATCCGTGACCGCGGACAGAACCATGGGCGAAATCCGCGCTCCAATCGGCCGCGGACTAGCTGACGAAAGCCAATAACCTAGGGTCAATTATGTAATTTCCAGGGCGACTAACCTAAACCTATATGAAGCCTAATTCGTCCAAAAGAGGGGGATAGCTATTTTTAGAGAGAAATTGAAGGCAAGAAAATGGAAAAAAGACAGAGAATTTCCTTAGAGTTTTTATCTTCTTCTTTTTAATCCCATTGTTGATTATGACTTTATATAGTGAATTTTTATCTATTAGCATGAGTAGCTACACCCATCATCTAGGGTTGATGGAACCAATTGTTGGATGAAATCTTGATTCTGTTTTGATATAATTGAGCCGTTTTTAATCTATGATTGTTCAACTACGCGTTGTTTTGTGATTAATTGAAAGGGCCCTTGATTAATCGTGTATAGTTATCTTGTGTTGCTTGAGAAAGAACACTTGGTCAGATTGTTGTTGAACAACACCACTTTCGGGTATGTTAAGAGATTAATTACGTGAATTTAAAAGCAGGGTTAGAGATAACGAAGCTTTGGTGGGATAATTCTGAGTTGCATAAATTGTTAACTAGAGTAGTTCGAGAGAATGCTTCTAGTAAATTATCGTAATTGATCGAGAGATAATTGCGGTAGCCCAGAACTCATATTTCTTATAGAGTGTTACGGAGAGATTATAGCTAACGTGTCAGGAATCAATCCGACTATTGGGGAAATCAATAACCCTAGACCATTTTACCATTGAATTCAACTCTATTCTTGATTATTGCTATTTTTCCTTAGTTAACTAAATTCTACTCATTATCCACTAAAAATCTTGCATCCGGGAATTGTTTGAGCTATTCATTAGCAGTTATAAAAGTTGTAGTAAATAGGTTAGTTCCCTGTGGGATTCGACTCCGGACTTGAACCGGATTATATTTGCAGCGACCGCTTAGTCCTTTTTATAAGGCATAGTTGGGCGTGGTCAAATTTTGAAGGCTCAAACTTGGCTGAATTCGCTCCCAATAAACTCCATTGCTACTTGGGAGGAACTAGTCAAGCAGTTCTTAAACAAGTTTTATCCACCCAACAAAACTGCGAGGCAGATTGATTTGCGATTCAGGCAGAAACCAAATGAGACTTTGCAAGAAACCTAGGAGAGGTTTATGGGTATGTTGGTGAAGTGTCCTCACCATGGCATTCCGGATCAGATACTGGGGCAGAGATTCTATATGGGTTTGGCAGACAGTCTGAAGGCCAATTGTGACGACCCAAAGGGTCATCACCTGTATTCCTACTCGCTCTGTATTTCTGAGACCGTAAAAACCTCACTTGGGGGTTGCCTCGAGTTTGAGTGTGCAGTCCGGGCGCGTAGCCGAAAAGTTTAAATATGAACTTGAGAGAAAAATTGTTAAATCTTGGTATTTAATTGATTAAGTTTGACTTCGGTCAATGTTTTGGGCAAACGGACCCGGATTCGTGATTCGACAGTCCTGGAGAGTCCGTAGGAAAATATGAGACTTGGGGGTGTGCCCGGAATCAAATTCCGAGGTCCCGAGTCCGAGGAATGAATTTTTACGTGAAATTGTTTTCTGAAAATAATTAAAGAATTGGAAAGTGTTATTTGTTTAGAAGACTGTGTTGCTTGGGCTCGTATTTTGGTTCCGACGCCCGGCACAAGTCTTAAATATGAGTTAAGCAATTGCTGTGAAGTTTGGTTAGATTTGGACGTCATTTGACGTGTTTTGAACTAAAAGCAGTAAATTTGATGTTTCATGGAAATTGGAAGGAATCATGGGTCTTGAGGCCTAATTCGATGTTGTTTTGGCGATTTGATCGCACGGATGAGTCCGTAGGATATTTTTGAGTTTATATGTATGTTCGGTTTGGAGCCCCGAGCGCTCGGGTGAGTTTTGAGTAGGTCCCGGGAGGGTCTTAGGCTTAAAAATAGCTGATGGTTGCAGGTTCAGGGGTTGCAGGGCCCCAGCGCGGCCGCGGTCATTTCCGCGCGGTCCGNCCGCGCGGCCGCGGTGCATTTCTGCGCGGTCCGCATTGCTAGGTCAGAGGGCCAGTGAATTCTAGGTCGACCAGCGCGGCCGCGCACCAAATCAGTGCGGTCCGCGCTGGGAGATTTAGAGAGTGGGTCTTGGGTCCATTCAACCAGCGCGGCCGCGCACCAAATCAGTGCGGCCCGCGCTGGGTAGGTTCAGAGAGTCATTTTTCTTCCCTTCCTCGGCGCGGCCGCGGTGCATTTTTGTGCGGTCCGCGCCAGTCTTCAGCACAGTATATTAAGTCGGGATTTTCAGTCATTTCTTCAAAACGATTGGTAAGTGTTTTCTAACTGATTTTTCTTTACTCCTTAACATCCTTAAAAATAATTTCAACTTCAAAACAAAGATTTTAATGGGGAAATTGGGAATTTAGGGTAGAACCTAGGTTTGCTAAAATTTGGGGGTTTTGGACCTCAATTCGAGGTCCGATTCCGAAATAACTTACATATTTGAGTTCATGGGGGAATGGGTAAATGGGTTTTGGTTCGAACCTCGGGTTTTGACCATGTGGGCCCGGGGGCATTTTTGACCTTTTGGGGTAAATGGATGAAAAAGCTATAATTAGTCATTGGGTTTGATTTGTTTAGCACATATTGATAACATGAAGTCATTATTGCATAGATTTGGTTGAGTTGGAGCCGAATTCGAGAGGGAAAGCGATTGTGGAGGATTGTATTGGCCGTGGAAGTTGAGGTAAGTGTTTGGTTTAACCCTAGCTTGAGGGAATAGGAGACGAGTCTTGTTTGCTAATTGCTAAATGATCGAGTATGATGTATAGGCATGGTGACGAGTTCCTAGACATTGGTGTCTAACATGACCGTGAGTCCTTATATGTGGCTTTGTTTGGATAATGTTATGCCTTCCATGCTTAATTGATGGCTTCTATGCGTTGTAAACACCTTGTGCAGGATATTGTGATTGTGGAACTTCGTGGAGCATTGGCTTGGTTTGAAACACAAATGGTGAGAGTATATGAGATGAGAAATGCCTCGTAGCTTGCCACGAGTGCTAATGAGAACTAGGATATGAAAATAAAAGAAAAAAGGGAAATAACGATTTACTCTTGCATGGTTGTTATTGGTTGTTTGTGTACCCTTGTTGGGATTTCCTTCCAATTACTTGTTCACTCCCTTGCCCTTTATTTGTGACTGTTGCTTGGGCAAGGTTGAGAGGTAGACATTGTGGATCGGGTTGCACGCCGCAACAGTGATAATTGTGGATCGGGTTGCACGCCGCAACAGTGATAATTGTGGATCGGGTTGCACTCTGCAACAGTGATAATTGTGGATCGGGTTGCACGCCGCAACAGTTAGTGATACAAATGTGTTTGGTGTTGGTATTAGTTTCTTGATCGTAGGAAATTATAAATTGCACCTAGATTGATTACTTTGGATTTACTGTTAATATTTTTACCCCCCACAGCATGTTTCCCCTCCCATATTGTTAGTCGCCTTGTACTTCGATTTCTGCTGTATATTTATTATTGCACAGGTTTATGTGAGGTCCAGTCTAGCCTCGTCACTACTTCGCCGGGGTTAGGCTAGGCACTTGCCAGCACATGGGGTCGGTTGTGCTGATGCTACACTCTGTGCATCTTTTGCACAGGTCCAGGTTTTGAGCAGCAGCAGCAGCAGCATTAGCACGGGGGCTTACCTTCAGTCCAGAGAGGCCCGAGGTAGCTTGCAGGCGTCCGCAGGCCCGACGTCTCCTTTCTATCTTTACATTTGGCTGTCATCTCATTGTTCCCGAGATAAACAGATTATGTTCTTTCAGACTTTGTATGTAGTACTCCTTAGATGTTCGTGAGTATGTGACTCCAGTCCCGGGGTAGAGATTTATGTGTTGAAACTTCTGTATTATTGAACATCTATCTACATTTAAGTCTTCCGCTTATGATTTTAATTTCGTCGCCTTTATTTAATGCCGTTAATTATTAAAAAGGAACATGTGTTTAATGAATTTGTTAACTAAGTTGGCTTGCCTAGCTCCTATTAGTAGGCGCCATCACGATCCTTGAGGGTGGGAAATCCGGGTCGTGACACCAATGTAGATGCTTCTGCCGGGGGTGCATTCTTGAGCAAAACATTCAAAGAGTGTAAGATTCTTCTTGACAAGATGTCTCAAATTCAGGCTGGATGACGAGAGACACAACACTCACCCCAATAGTGCATTCTGTCGCTCTTGACCCAAACGACACAAATGTAGAAAACATAGCCACTCTTATGACCCAGATGAGCTTCCTGACAAAGAAAATCGATGAGATTGGTACAAAATAGGTGCACATCGTTGATACCATAAATGGAGGCTTATGCACTCCTTGCATAAACCAGTCATATGTGTGCTCGTGGAGTGGAGAGAATGACAACCAGGGTTTCAGAGAAGACATGAATTATGTCAATAATTTCAGAGGTCAGAGGCAAGGTGGGCAGCAATGGGGACCAACATCAAACCAGCAGTACAGACTAAACCAGCCACAGCACAACCCCAATCCAGGAGGAGAACGACCACAAGGCCAAGTCGTGCCTTATCAAAGGCAGCAGGGTTATGATCAGCAGCACCAGCAAAAGTTGGCCTACCAACCACCTCACAATAGCAGGACAGTAACATGATCGAAATTAGGGGTATGCTCCAATAACTCATTAGGACAAATGGAAAGATGCAAGAGAAGTTAGCTGCACATGATTCAGCAATCAAAGGCATTGAAACTCAATTGGGACAACTATCTATGGCCTTGAACAATCGCCCACAAGGAACATTGCCTGCAGATACAAACATTAATCCAAAGGAGCAGAACCCAAATCAGCTCATGACAGTGAGTCTCAGGAATGGAAAAGATTTAGACAGAGAGCAAGAAGTTGCTCAATCTAGGAGAGAGACAACTCCAACTACCCCAGTTACTCCAGTTACATTAGAGACAGATGAGTCAGCAGAGCTCACCGAGGTTGTAATCGAGCAGGCACAGGTTGACAAGGGTAAGGAGAAGGAAGATGAACAACTCCCAAAACAGGTGGTAGAAAAATCTTCCAGCAAAGAAAAGACACAAAGTAGTGGGCAGAGGTTGACTCCTGCACCATTCCCTCAGAGGTTGGCAAAGCAAAAGAAAGATGATCAATACAGGAAATTTATGGAAATGCCCAAACAAATTCAATTGAATATTCCACTGATGGATGCTTTGAAGGAAATGCCAGGGTATGCAAAACTGATGAAGGACCTGATGTCGCAGAAATTTGACTTCCAGGACCTGTCCACTGTAACTCTGACGCAGACCTGCAGCGCGGTAGTGACAAGGCCTATGGCTCAAAAGGTGTCTGATCCAGGTAGTTTCAATATCCCATGCACCATTGAGAGTTATGCTTTTGCTAAAGCATTGTGTGACTTGGGAGCCAGTATAAACTTGACGCCCTTGGAAATCTATACAAAACTTGGCATTGGCAGAGCTAGACCGACCTTAATGTTGCTGCAACTGGCTGATCGCACAGTCAAAAGACCGACAAGAAGATGTGCTTGTTCAAGTGGGGAAATTTGTATTCCCTGCAGACTTCGTCATTCTTGATTGTCAAGTGGATGAAGAGATACCAATCATTTTGGGAAGGCCGTTTTTAGCCACTAGAGCATTGATTGATTGTGAGACTGGAGAATTGAAAATGAGTTTGAACAATGAAGAGATAATATTCAATTTTCAACAATCTATGAGGAGATCCAGCGAATTTGCAAATTGCTCGCTAGTGGAGGCCGTAGATGTAATACTACAAAAGGAGGATAAGACTATCAATGTCAGGGATCCGTTAGAAGCCTGCTTGATGAATCTGGAAAATATGGACGGTAAGGAGTTGGCAGAGTGGGTCATGGCTCTTGAAGGTCAAGGGTTCTGGAAAAGGGAACCCCAGTTCGAGCCCCTACACTTAGAAGAAAGAACAACACCACCTGCGAAACCATCGATAGAGGAGCTACCACAGTTGGACCTAAAACCGCTACCAGCTCACCTCAGGTATGCTTTCTTAGGGCCTAATTCTTCTTTGCCTGTTATTATATCATCCGGTTTGCTAGCTGTGCAGGTAGAGAAACTCTTATAGGTGCTACAGGAGTGTAAGACTGCTATTGGTTGGACCATGGCAGACATAAAGGGTATCAGCCCAGCTTTTTGTATGCACAAAATTCTCTTGGAAGAAGGGCACAAACCCTCCAGAGAACATCATAGGCTGATCCCGAATATGAAAGCGGTGGTGAAGAAGGAAGTGATCAAATGGTTAGATGCGGGTATCATCTTCCCCATCTCCGACAGAAATTAGGTCAGCTCTGTTCAGTGTGTGCCGAAGAAAGGAGGAATGACAGTTGTACAAAAGGAGAATAACGAGTTGATCTCGACTCGTACAGTCACGGGGTGGCGGATTTGCATGGATTATCGGAAATTGAACACAGCCACCCGGAAGGACCATTTTCCCTTGCTATTCATTGACCAAATGCTGGACAGGTTGGCTGGGCGATCTCACTTCTGTTTTTTGGATGGATATTCGGGGTACAATCAGATCTCAATAGCCCCCGAAGACAGAGAGAAAATATCCTTCACTTGTCCGTATGGCATCTTTGCCTTTCGGAGAATGCCTTTTAGACTTTGCAATGCACCGGCTACATTCCAGCGGTGTATGTTAGCCATTTTCATGGATATGGTTGAAGTCATTATGGAGGTATTTATGGATGATTTCTCCGCTGTGGGGGATTCATTCGAGGACTGTCTTCATAATTTAAGAAGAGTGCTCAAAAGATGTGTGGAGACAAATTTAGTGCTGAATTGGGAGAAGTGCCATTTTATGGTACAAGAAGGGATAGTCTTGGGGCATCGAGTGTCAGGTAAAGGAATTGAGATTGACCATGCTAAGGTTGACGTGATTGAGAAGTTGCCACCGCCCACTTCGATCAAGGCAGTGAGAAGTTTCCTTGGGCATGCCGGGTTTTACAGGCGATTCATAAAAGATTTTTCTAAGATTGCTAACCCTTTATGTAAACTCCTTGAAAAGGATCAGCCCTTTGTGTTTTCTAATGATTGTAGGTTGGCATTTGAGGAGCTGAAGAAGAGATTGGTGACTGCACCCATCATTGTTGCACCCAACTGGGAGCAACCGTTCGAGCTCATGTACGATGCAGGTGACTATGCTATATGAGCAGTCTTGGGGCAGCGAAAGGATAAGCTGATGCACCCAATTTATTATGCAAGCAGAACGCTAAGCGGTGCACATCTCAATTACACCGTGATGGTAAAGAAGATGTTGGCTGTAGTTTTTGCATTCGACAAATTCAATTCGTACTTGATTGGTTCGAAAGTTATTGTTTATACTGACCATGCAACAATTAGGTACTTGATAGAAAAGAAAGAGTCAAAGCCACGCTTGATCCGCTGGGTTCTTTTGCTATAAGAATTTGATCTGGAGATCCGTGACAGAAAAGGGATAGAGAACCAAGTAGCAGACCACCTCTCAAGGTTGGAAGGAGCTGAAAAGAAGGTAGAGGTTGAAGACATAACAGAGACATTCCCGGATGAACAGTTACTAGCAGTGACAATGGAGGAGAAGCCGTGATATGCTGATATTGCTAATTATTTAGCACGCGGTATTTTACCTTATGAACTCTCTTCAATTCAAAAGAAAAAGTTCTTTCGTGATTGTCGGTATTATTATTAGGATGAACCTCTACTTTTTAAAATATGTGTAGATAACATGATCCGGAGGTGTATCCCCGAGAAAGATCAACATTTTGTTTTGCAGGCTTGCCATGCTTCACCATATGGTGAACACTTTGGAGGAATTCGGACAGCGGCTAAGGTGTTGAAATCAGGCTTGTATTGGCCAACTCTGTTAAAGGATGCCCATGCTTGGGTGAAAAGTTGCGATGAGTGTCAAAGGACATGCAACATATCTCGGCGTCACGAGATACCGATGACTACTATTCAAGATGTGGAGGTATTTGACATGTGGGGGATTGACTTTATGGGGCCATTCGCCAGCTCGTATGGTAACAAATACATACTGGTGGCAGTTGACTATGTCTCCAAATGGGTTGAAGTTGTGGCTCTCCCAACCAATGATGCAAAGGGGGTGATAGGCTTTATGAAGAAAACCATCTTCACACGTTTGGCACCCCGAGAGCTATAATCAGTGATGGTGGAACCCATTTTTGCAATAGAGCGTTCGCACGACTGTTGGAAAAGTATGGGGTTCGCCATAAGGTGACCACCCCTTATCATCCACAGTCGAGCGGGCAAGTTGAAGTGTCAAACCAGGAAATCAAAAGTGTCCTAACCAAGACAATGAATGCGACAAGGACTGATTGGGCAAAGAAGCTGGATGATGCATTATGGGCGTACCACACAGCATTTAAAACTCCAATTTGTATGTCACCATACAAGTTGGTGTTTGGAAAAGCATGCCACCTTCCGGTGGAGCTCGAGCATAAAGCCCTTTGGGCACTGAGGCAATTGAATTTGGATATGGAGACCGCAGGCACCAGTAGAGTCACTGAGTTACATGAACTCGAGGAATTTAGGTTCCATGCATTTGAGAATGCAAGATTGTACAAATAAAGGATGAAAATGATGCATGATAAGCATATTCTAGATCGGAACTTCAAACCCAATCTAGTATTGCTATACAACTCGAGACTAAGATTATTTTCGGGTAAATTGAAGTTCCGATGGTCAGGACCCTTTAGAGTGGTGCAAGTGTTCTCAAGTGGAGCTGTAGAAATTGAATCCGAAGATGGAACAAATAACTTCATAGTGAATGGGCAAAGGTTGAAACATTACCTTGGAATAGTCGAAGAAAAGGGGGATAGAGTGGTGATATCTTTGGAGGAGCCCCAATACACAAGCGAAGAGTAATAATGAAAGCCTGCGTCGTGCCGTGGCATTAAATCAGGCGCTTCCTGGGAGGAAACCCATGGTTTGTTGTAAATCGTCGTGCCGCAACGTTAAATTAGGCGTTTTTTGGGAGGCAACCCATGTTTTTGTTCTTTTTATTCTCATTTTTGTAATTGATTTTTGAACGGTGACAGTATTGATCGATCTACTAAGGTGCACGAACGAAGGTATGCATAACGGAAGGACTCGAGGTGATGAAATTATCCCGGAGATAGGCAAACGTGCGAAAAAAGGAAAAAAAAAATTGATGCTCAATCCGCGGCCGCGGATTCGACCTCGGATCTGGCGCCGTTGAGGTTCAATTAGAATATTTTATTTTTCTTTTCTTTTCTTTTCTCTTCCCCCTTTTTAATTAGTTTTTTTTAATTAGTCCCCCCTCATCCGCCCACTCCCCCACTTCTTTTCCCCCCGCCTTAACAAAAATAAATCTAAAACCCTCCCCCTTCCCCAAATCAGATACACGATCCCCTCCCCCTTCTTTTCCCCACTTTTTTTTTTGACTTCACCAAATCTCCTCTCCTTCTCCCTCTTCTCTACTCAACAACTAGCCAAGCTCCCTTCCTCACAAGATTTTCAAGTAAGTAACATGCTTCTACTTTCTTTTTTAGTTTTTTTCTTTAATTTTTTTATTCTTTTTCTCTTCTATTGTAAGTGAAAGATAGTAGAAGTTATGGGTACTCTTATCTTTATTGTTATTTATTGGTATATATGTTGGTATATGAGGATATTAGATTTGGTTGGGTTGGGTAGATATTGTTGAGTTGTGAAGAATAGAAGTTTAATTAGGTCTATGGGTACATTGGGGGGCATATGCACAGTAGGTGTTTGTTGAATTGCCTCAATGAGTTTTTTTTAGTATAAATTGTGACCAATGGTGCGAGTGAAGTTTGAGTAACCGCCCTTGGTTCACATATTCTGTCGATTATTGATAGTCATGGTTGTTGTGTAGGTACCATGAGATCTTCAAAGAAGAGATGCACTACCGGTGCCTCATCTAGTGGTCATGGAGGCTCGTCCCGGGCACGGGCACCAGCCAGTTCAGCTCAGTTTGATCGCACCGGGTTTGTCTCCAGAGCTGCCCTAGACCGTTTCAGTTGGAAGGCTATTAGAAAGCCTGTACCGGAAAGGGGAGTTGACAGTGGATCCCTCCAGGCTGAGTGCCCCAATATGTATAGAGAGTTGATTAGGCGCAGGCTAGACATCTTCTTCGAAGAGCCGGAGGACGGTAACTTGATGCTTGTTAGGGAATTCTATGCCAACTGCTCTGAACATGAGGATCACATCTGCACTGTGTGACAAAAGAGAGGGAATGCCTCGATAGAAGCCATCAGGAGAGTGTATCGATTGCCTGTATTCACTGGGGAGGAGGATTACTATGATACTTACCGGTGAGAACTAACAAATTGGCACATGTTTTTCATAACTATCTGTGTACCAGACAAAGAGGTAGTGTGGGTTGTACGGGGATCGAAGTTGAACTCAGCCTCACTCACCTTTGAAGGAAAGTATTGGTTGTACATCATCAATAGTCGACTGCTGCCGTCCCACAACACCACTGAGGTAAATGGTCCGAGAGCTGCTTTGATCTGGTGCTTCGTGAATGGCAGAGATTTTGATGTGGCCAAGGTTATTCAATCTGAGATGTTCATCCGTTCAACACTGAGGAGGTATGGGTTCTTCTTCCCATCTCTGGTCATTAGATTGTGCCAGGCCGTAGAGGTACCAGAGAAACCCAATGTGGATGGCAAGGTGAAGAAGGAAGCAAAGTTTCGGGCAAAAAAGGTGACCCTTGGGATGGACATGGTGGTACCCGGTACAACTGATAGTAATGATTCTGAGGCGTCAGAGGAGAGCGATGAAGAGCAGGATGAAGTTGCGCCTTCTTCAACCCCACAGGAACAAGTTGGGCCATCCTCAGCCCCACGGGAATAGGTAGCCGTGGTTGAAGGATCATCTGCAGTCAGACGAAGTACGCAGATGACAGCCTTAGAACAGGAAATGGTAGGGCTGCGCACTTTCATCATAGAATTGGGGGCTAGAGTTGATGCCTTGGCCACCCAAAATGCAAAGTCGGAGAAGAAAATCATGGGCTGGCTGCGTGCGCTGGGGAGGGCGTGTCATCTCGACCCCGGCACTGTCTCCTATTAAG